GTTAGAGACATTGCATAGAGTGGAACCCAGTTAAAATCAGATGAAAGCAAGTCTGTTACCTGTCATCTGTTCACACGGCTTATACCACTGGCATCAGTAGGACTTCATAAGGGTCCCGTAATCATGAGTGGTCCTGCAGTCACTGCAATTCAAACTGCAGTTCTGCACACAGTGAATATTGCCTTCGTGTTCTGACGTTGCAGCCGTGCTGCTGTCCTGCTTGGTGTTGCAACAKGTAGAGCAGGTAGAAGTCAGTGCCTGAAGCCACGTCCCATGTGCAGTGCTAAGAGCAGAGCTAAGTGGGGTCACGCGGGCCTGCTGGGCACCTCCTGCACCCCAGGCCAGGGACCAGAGCTGTGTGGTGGATCCACAGTGCTCAGGCACCTGGTCAGCGCCTCCAGCAGCCTCAGGACKCTGCTGTGCTCCAAAAGCTGGGCTTGGTAACGTCCTCCTCTCCAGAGCAGAGCACACCTATTGCTCCTGGAGCTGATGGCTGGTCCCTGGGCTTGGTGCRCGGGGAAGTTGTGAGGGAAAAATGATTACCTCTGAGGTGACGTTAGGGCACTGATAAGCACTAGCTCTTTGCAATATTAGTACCATGAGGTGRGTTTAAGGTTTGGACAGGAGGGTGTCATTTTAGGATTTGGTATGATACCAGGTCACAGCTGTTATTCTGCAGGACACAGCAACATGGAGCACTCACAGGTTAATCTCAAACTGCCACCCCCACATAACTCATCCCAGTTTCTTTAACTGATTTTTCGCATCTTTACCACTGCCTAATGTGATTACAGTGTCAATGAGCTGCTGCTCTGCCCCTGCTACCCTGAGCACAGCTTCTCTTCACAGTATTTCCCTTCACGTGCCCCCAACATGGTCAGGGTTGATCCTCATCTGACACCAGTTGTGTGCAGCTGAGTTTGCCTTCACTTCTGTCTGTAGAGCCACAGGGTCAGGCTGGCCACACACCAGCTCTGAACTTGGTCTCCTCCTGACTCCGACAGCCACCACCAYGTGTGCAAGCTGATCAGAATCACTGGTCTTGGAAGACAAAAAAAAGAGACCAAATATCTTTGAAACGGAGTGGCTGAACTTGCAAGTATTTCAGAGCGGGAGGTCTGAACAGAGCACTGTGGCAATAACTACTCTCTAAGTCAGGCAGAAACATTTCATATTCAATAGCAGGGATGTTTAAATAGTGAGACAGCCTAATTGAGCTTCTGGCCTACGCATGCCTCTGATATATCAAGGAATATATATACACATCACTAGACAATAGAGAGTAGACAATAGAGATTGCCAGTATGCGCTGCTGAGCCCTCCCAAGGTTCACAAGACCTGTGTTATTTATAAAATACTGCGTACAGTAAAACCGGAAGATGTTGTAAGACCGGGGGACTGTTTTTTTTGCATGTGCCCCTTCTGTCAAGGTCCTGCTGCTCTCCCATGAAGTCAGCGAGATCCTAGGGGAGATGAAGGCCCCTTGCAATGACACCGTGATCTCTGGGCTGCCCATATCTAAGGTTCAAAATGACACGGTTCAAAACATGGTTCAAAACAACAAATCCAATTTCTTTGGTGACCTGCGAAATATTTTGTCTTTCTTAAAGAGTTCAAGACACTAGACTGCTGCAAATGGGTTAACCTTTTCAAAAGCAACAACCCTAGCACTATGTTGACATTGTTCTCAGTTTTGACATTGACTTCAGTGACCACAGGACCAAGGTGACAGCATTACTACTTTTTGTCATAGCTGCTTTGCCTGCAAAATGACAGCAGATGCAAAGAGGACTATATACACAGTTCAGAGGAACACGTGCAGAACTTTGCTCCCACTTAGCAGTTTTAAGGGTGCATCCTCTTTAAGGCTACCATTTCTTTTTCTCCTGTGCTATGAGAAATGAGCATGAACTTTCTGTTGCAGCTCTGCTCAAATGCACGTGCACACACACTCACTCACTSAGTCTTCAATACTGTCTGCAGTGGCGTTTCTCCATGTCAAAGCAAAGTATATTAATATCTAAGTCAGAATCCTTTAACGGTCCCATTTTTTTTTCATTCTTTTAAGCTGCACTCATGAAACTAATCACTGGATTTAGATAGTATTGCGTATCAATAAAAATTCAGTGAAAAAAATTTTTCGAAATGTTTTGGAATCTGAGAACTCGTCTCAGTGATTCCAAACTGTTATAATGGAAAAACCTCATGAACTCTGTGAAATCAAAAAGTCATAGAAATCAAAATCCAGATTCAATTTCTCAGATTTTGCTTCATGAGAAGGAATAAAAATGCTTGACCTTTATTCTTTAAAAAACACAACTGAAATCAACAGACCTGTCCCTGTGTTTCAAAGGAGGTCATCTGTAAATGAGACAATCAATATAGTCACAGAGAGGCTATTTAAATGATTAAAAGCCCAATGACCATGTAAGAAAAGATGAAATTAAGCTAAGAGAAGCAAGCTGGGAAGGATGTTACCAACACTAATAAAGAAAGGTGGCAAGCTAAACCAGAATGATTAAACAATAGCAAAATACATAAAATAAAATAAAATAAAATAAAATAAAATAAAATAAAATAAAATAAAATAAAATAAAATAAAATAAAATAAAATATCACAAATACTGGGCCAAACTTGGCTGTCCTAGCTCAGCGTGACCTTTCTCGGCTGTTAATTTGCTAGAGTGGGAAGCCTGGCTGGTCCTTCCGAAGCGGCTGGCTGAGCACAGCCAGGGCTAGTGACCAACGGGCCATGGTCCAGGGGAACATTGCCCATATGGGATGCAGCATCTCCAGCTTTGGAGCCCATGTTTCTCAGTGCATGTCACATGGGCTGGAGATGCTCACTGAACTAAAAGCAGGATATTCCGCCTGCACATTGTCTAATGCTTCACTTAAGACCTGCTGTAGCTCTTGACATGGAGGTTAAGTGCTATGTAAATGCCTCACTCCAGCACTTAGGACTTAGCTGCTCTAGGATCTTGTTCTGATGGAGCTCCCAAATGTTTGCGTTTAGCCCTTTGCTTTGCATGCTCCCTTCACTGCTGAGCTATGGTTATTGCTCCAGACCCCCTGAAGCATGGGACACAAATGAGAGTCTTGTCAGCTATGGCAATTTTATATGGAGCTTAGTGTCCTTCTTAAAGCACAGCTGCAGAAATGAAGCAATTGCATCAGTGTCTTATTTTATCACTATTCAAAATAAATGTGTCATTTTCTGGCCCTCAGCTTGCTTGAGAAATGCCTGAAAACACATCTTGAATTCAGCCTCAAAGCCTCAGGACCTCGAGGGCAAATACAGGAACCTAAAAAGTTCATTTAAAAATAATAATAAAAAAAAGTCATCGTTTGAAGTCAATCCTGTAATTTTTGGAGCTTGGTTCATGACTGTGAATGCCTGCAGTGGGCAGTGTTAAGAGCAGACACAGAAAATGCCCAGGCAAATGCACACTGTTTCCCCATGGATCGCAACAAACAAACAATCTCATTTGATTAACTCCRCTTGAAATAATATTTTAAGGGGTAAAATGATTTCACAGAGATGACATGTTGGCATTTGAAATGAGATGAATATAGTGCCTGTGAAAGTGCAATAATCCTTAAYAACTAGCCCAAAAGAAGCATCATCCCCAGGGATAAGAAGGTAATTCACTCCCCATATTTAATTTGTTCCTAAGCTGCTTTTGAAACAAGACTGTTAAATAGTAAGTTGGCTTGTGATCCTAGGCTAGRCTGCTGGACTTAGTCTAATCGTGCCATTGATTCTGCATACATTTCAAACTAAGTCACAGGATGTAAAATCAGGTGGGCTAATTCCTTAAGCTGTTTAAGGAAAAGGCTGTTAGCATAGGCTAAATTTAGAGATAGGAGTCTGTTTACTACAAGCAACAGGGGAAAGATAATCCACTGTCTTCACCGACTGACTGCAGCTACAGCTCTTTGAACAGCCTTGTCTCTGAGGGCTGCATTTCAAGACGTCCCTATCTTCATAAATTCATAGCTGTCTAGGAGTTCAGTCAACATTAAAGAAAAAAGTGACGACAATGCACTTAATTAGACTAAATAGTTACCAAATGCCCACGGTGGGACCTTGTAAAAGGAATGGAAAAACTTTGGCTTACGCAAAAACCACTCCACCACTACTACCTCCTCTCAGATATTCTCTCTGCCTAAAAAAAAAGGAAAAAAGAAAAAAAAAAAGATTAAAAAAAAAGCAGTATTCTTCTTTTTTAAAAAAAAATTGGATTTTTTTCCTTTTGCATTTCTGGATAGTTTTTACTGTCATGGGTTTGTTCACCAGATCCTGGGGCCAGGAACAGTGCGACAGATGCTTTTGATGCTTCAGCCACCTTACCAAAAGCCTCAAAGAAGAGCTAAGGGTTCATTCACCGCTGCAGGGACAGGACCCAGGCCAGGAGTGCACATTCTGCAGGTGGCCTTTGCAGACAAACCCAAACTGGATGATTTCTCTAATGATCCCTTGGCTGCATTTACAATACATTCTTGTGGAACAAAATATTAGGAATTATTGATTTTTAAGGCAAGGGAGTATTAAAGGAAACTAATATACAACTGCTACAGTGGTTTTGTCTTAAATGTGCATTGGGCATAGTCCTTAAACCGCTCTTATTGCAAATATGCAAGGCCTGCTCTAAAAATCATAACGGTCTGAACTTTTTAAATGGAAATTTGTCCTATTTATCTGGTCACAAGCCAGTAAGCAGAATCCAATAACKCACCAGATTAAAGGATATACAGGATTATATAGCAGAAGGTAATTGTAATTAACTAATATCTGGATGGCATTTAATACACACATTGTATTATTCCAATGAGATGAGACAGAATAATATTTACATTGCCGTGAGCATTTTCAGTTTATAGAAATGGAACTTACAGTTTAGTAAGGTATGCAGGTGTTACATCAAGAATGAGATGAGACCATTTAAAGTCTTGTGAAATATTGATATAAATTCATTTTGTTTTGTTTCATGCACCAGCGCTTCCTGCAGTGGCACCAGAACAGCAGTGCAGTTTATAACAGAGAAAAGAAGAAGAGGAAAGAGCAAATGTGAAATGGTCTAATTTATCCACAATTGCTTTGAAATTCTATCTGAATTGTCTCATTATTATTCATGCATTAGAAAAATGGTCCAAAACTTGACAGCATGGGTAAATAGATGCAGAACTTGGAAAACAGGTAATTTGACTGAAGAATTTATGGCCATTATTAAACAAATGTTATATTTCTTTTGGGTAAATCTGGTGATTTTATTTAATTTATCATTGTTTTCAAGATAGCAATATAATACTGTTTGTTTCTAATGCTCTGAAATGAACAAAACAGGTGTAAATTGATGCCACATGGAATTATAATGTTTCAACAGTAGCTGGTTAGTTAAACTTCTAGAGAATTTCATGAAGAATGTGCATACAGTTATTAATGGACTTTTACATACAATATTGATGCTTGAAGTGTAGTGCTCCTGTTAAAATCTGCTTTCACAGAGTCACTATACAAGAAGAGATTGTTCTATGAAAGAAAACCTTGAACGAGTATTTGCTTGAGACTAAACAGTAAAAATGAAAGAAATTTTACAGACTTTAGTACAGGAATGGTAGATGAGACTATGAAAGCTAATATTTTGAAACTGCCTACTGAATTGCATTGTGCTGCCTACTGAAATTATTAAGCTGACAATAAACAGGTAGAATGGAATATCAAAACCTCATTGCATAGTGTGTCATCTTTCTCTAATGAGGCATTCCTTCACCTTTTACCCCCTTACACCCTTGGTGATCTTACACTATGTACCTCTAAGATATTCAATGTTCTCTTTTAGAGATTTGGCCTATAGAAAGTATGAAATCTTAGCAATGATGTACTGTGTCAGGTAATGATGCCAGAATTAAGTGGTGAAAAGCTTGGTTCAAGTTCAGAAGGCGATTTTGAGTGAATAGCTATTAACTTCTACTAATTTATTTCAGAAGGGATTTCTCTTATATACCCTCAAATATTTAAGACGCTTTGTACTATTTCTCAGGAATCCAYATCTTCTCAAAGTGCTTTTTTCTTTTCACTTGAAGGCAGCATGGACTTAAAACAATACTGCAGGGAATGTACCGTTCCATAAAGCACATAAGGATAGCAGGATCCAGGAGACACAAGGCATAGAAAATTGTCGAAAATGAGTAGGTGGTACAACACATACTGCTCTTGAGTCATAAGTTCCATTTATGGTGACTTCTACTTCCAAGAGATAGGATATTAAAAAAGGCAATAAAAATGAAGTTACATGAATAAACTTCCAGGAATGAGTGGAGTTCCACCAGTGATCGTCTGTGCGCTGGCAGAGGTAGAGCGATGGGGATGCTATGAATAGGGCAGCAGTCACTACAACAAATGAGCCTCAATGCGGAGCCAGTGGAGTCCTTGGCGAACGTAACGGACCAGATTGGTCATACTGCTGTGTTGTGTTAAGGGTCCCATCACTGAGTCCAGGTCTACAAAGAACTCTGCAACACACAGGAAACAGAAGTCATTGTTCAGGTACATCTACTATAACGATTTCATGCTCACAGTGCAATCAATGAGTTGTAAAGACCTTGCACACATGAGCACATGGTCTGCGGGAAAGTTACATGGAGTCCCGGCCTGCATTAAAGTGGCTCCCACTGTCAAGGTCAGAGGGTTATACGGTGACATCCAGTTTAAAGTCTTGCTTAAAACACTGCAAAGAACCTCCCCAGCAACTTCTCCATTCAATCTATGATTTTTGAACCCATCACTATCATTTAGAAAAATGTCTTGGCTCACCCCTAAAGATTGCAGGTGATGGAAGAAGTATTTCTAGGTAAGCTGCCAAGAATCAATTGCCCTCACACCACAGAAATCACCTCATCATAGAAACCTGTCACAGAATATTTCACCTTAGACTGCTTATTTAAGGTCAAACTGTAAAATTTAAAATTGATGTCTTGCAACTCTTTGCGCTGGATTTTAAAACCACAGAGTTTAACAAAGGCAACAATGTACTTAGACCAAATTAGATTATCCATGCTGGACTTCAACCAAAACAAGGTATGGGCGGTTGCCAATGGCCTTACTTTAGTTTTGATGATCTTCTTTTTCATTTTCTTTAAGTCTAGACTTGCTGATTTAAATAACAGGCAATCAACTAGGACATTTTGCTTTCCATGATGACTGTTTCCTGGGCATGAAGGGCTGGTCTGGATCACCAAGAGGAKCTGCCACTTCCTGTTGCTGCCTTTGCAACAGCTTTGGCTACCTGGTTATCCTGTACCAGGTTCACAGGCCTCAGGGGATGGAGAGAGGAGGAGAAGGAAGAAAGGGAGAGAGGGAATGTGCCCGAAAATGACATCTCAGRGATGGGAACCCTCCTCAGCTGGAAGCCCCTCTATGTGCAGAAGGCCAACAACTATCACAGCAACCAGTGGCTGAGCTGCCACATTCACCTCCCATCTAAATCGAGCCCTCTCAGCGCTCATGCAGCTAGCACTGTGTTGGCTGCAGTTCTCAGGAGTGGATGCAGGCTACAAAATCCTCATCAGTACTTTCTTCAGCACATGCTGCTGCTTTGAGGTCTTCTATCCAAGTATTGACAGTCTGACCCTGGCCAGCTTGGGAGCTACAACTGTATCACAGCACAAAGTGATATGGCTGCAGGCAAGCATAAAGAAAGCTTAGGGATATCACCGTCGAGTTATGATTCTGTAGCCAGCAGTTACTTTTAATCTTCCTTCCTCTGTCTTTTATTCCCTTCCTCCAGTGTGAAATCAATACTTTTAGAAGTGAAATAATGCAGTGTCTTGCTTGCATTCTACTGATCTAATTCTAGGCTCAACTAAACAATAATTGCTTTAAACACTGAGGATTCAGCTTGGAGGCTAATTTCAGTCTACCAATCTGAAATTATTTCTTGGAAAAGCTATGAACACTGAAGTCACTTATTTAACTTATATGTGAAATAACAGGCCTTCATCACTGCACAACTGATGGCATGATGGTTTTCCACCATAGAGCAAAAATGCTGTTATCTTTAGAAGCTTTAAAAAAAATCTGATTTTGTAAAATCAGCTGGGAGTTTGATGCTTTAACTGGTGAACAGCTCTAAGGTGACCCAGCACAGACCAGAACACRGGTTGGGTTGGGATGTGTTCAGCTGAGTCTGCTCTGCTACAGAGGCAGGTTTTATGAGTTACTGCTATTCCCCAACATGCCCTAAACTCCTCTGACTATGGAAAATACAACCATAGCCACACTGCTGTGTGATCCCCCTTTCCTTTTCGATCCAGAGCAGCTTGGTAAGTCATCACTGCGCTGCTCTTTATGCAGCTGCAGAGCTGCTTTTCTACTTTAATGGTACCCCTTTATAGGAGACCAACAAGAAAGGGATCTCCTCCTGCTCCGAGCCAGCTGGACATGTGTCAAGTCCAAGCTGGGAGTGTGCTGGCACGCTCAGAGGAGCACAGACCTGAGGCTGACAGCCAGGCACACAGGGAGCGTGAGCTACAGCCTCGCTCACCTGGCTCYGTAGCACCTACCATGTGGAAGGGTCTCCTGTGGCTGCATGGCCATAACTTAGAAACCAACCGTGGTAGCAGGAGGAGGCTATGAGGCTTTGGGCATTACAATGACCGGGCCACAGTTTTGCCCCAAGCCTTCTAAGCTCATCAGCTTACCCTTCTTGGGTAAGACCTCCCTGCTGTGATTCAGAAGACAAGAGGAAACAATGAGAGCTTGCCACAAAAAAAAAAAAAAAAAAAAAAAAAAAAAAAAAAAAAA